TATATATATATATACGTGCTAAAATAGATGTTAAAATAAATATCACTTGCATAAATTTTAAGAAAGTCGAGAATGAATGTTCGAGTTTGTTGTACAATGTAGATCACGGTAATTTCATAGAGATGTTTTTTAATTTACTTACACGTTTATAATAAAGGAGATATAAATTAATTATAAATTTGAGAAAACAGAAGTGATTCTGGGAGATTTTGAAGATGTTGAGGAATCACCATTGATGTTTTTGATTTAATCTTGGTCAATGTTTTCAATGCTGTTACTACGATCTTATATATGATACATTATGACTAGAAACAAATATTATTGATAATTAGTCGGTAAATATTAAATTAATGAAAGTTACGTCGTTTCAAATTCCTTCCCATTTCCATTTTCATACTTATTACACACCGTTGTTTTCTCATACTATACTTGCCGCCGGAGTTGCTGAACAAAAGTAATACGGTTACGTATTGCCATCTGTAAAGCCGTAGATTTATAGCTGCAAAGTAAAAGACCATAATCATAACAAATTATCCGTAAACAATTTCTTATTTTCTTTTCTTCCCCAAAAATTGAATAACTAAATAATTAAATAATAAATTTACAAAATCATGGCATTTTCGGAATTACGCATAATTATAATATTACAGGCACGTTATATATAATAATAACAGATTTTAGATAAAATTCCCTTATTAATAGGGGTGTGTTCTGTTCGATCAAAGCTAATTTTTATTGGCTGATCAGAAGGAACAGGAACAGAACAAATTTGTTGCCTTCTGGTATAGTATTTTAGCCCATTCTCCACGTGAGACACTTTTAACTACTTGATGAACTTGTCGTCTGTCTAGATGTTTTTCACATAACTCACATTCATAGGAAAGTGAAATTTCCTTGAGCTGTTTCATGTTTCCGTCCAGGTAAATTTCAAACCTATCCTGATAATCTTTGTTGTGACAATATAGATATTCATCCACTTCATCTGGTTGAGTGTTTTCCTTGTCTTTATCATCATCCCATTGTTCCCTGTAACATGGATTTTCATTTTGCCTTTGAATGTATGCGCAGAGAATTCTTCTCCCAATGGTTATTAGTTCACTGTTGAGGTATGGACAAAGTCATCCGTGGCAGAGATTGAACTGGTCATTTTGATGTCTATGATGCTTCCTTAAGTCTTAAGAGCGTTGGTAACTTATCAATAATGGCGTCTCTGTGATTCCAGAATGCTTGGTTCATTTGATCAATATATTCTTGTTCAATAGAGTATTCTTCTTAATAGTCATTGAATAAATCTGCAGTTCTTTCCATTAGTTAGTCATACTCTTCTCTCAGTCTTTTTGA